CAGATGCAGGAGGAAGGAGCCCTTTGCGCATGAAGGTGAAGGGAAGGAACATTCATGAAACCCTACTGTGTTCATTGGATGGAGGCTTATATCCAACATCTGTTTTGTAACTCTTTCCAGCAGCCTGAGAAGACAGGTTTGGGCATCCCCAGTTGCACCTGAGGGAAGGGTCTCAGAGGAGTGAAATCATATACCCAAGGTCGCACAGAGCGTGGAATCTCTGGGCTTTGGAGAGGGCAAAAGCCCTTGGCTACCGAATCCAAGAAGGCCCGGGGAAGGAACCACCTCCCCCGCCCCTCCCCCAGGGCCTGTCACCACTTCCCTCACCGGACAGGGTGCAGCTTTGCTGAACAACCCCGTCATTAGACACGTGGGTTTCATTAGACCCTATGGAAGGTCCAGAGAACCACAGGAAGAGGGAATAGAGGTGAGGCATTGGCTCAAGCGTCCTGGAAAACTGGCCTCTTTATGGCGCCTTCCCAGTTGCGCCTGCTTCCCCTAGATTCAGCCCTGGGGGGAGCCAGCCTTGGGGTCGTGGGAGGGAATAGGACTGGATCTTTTTTTTCTAAGATTTTATTTATTTATTTGTCAGAGAGAGAGAGAGAACAAGCAGGGAGGGCTCAGGCAGAGGGAGAGGGAGAAGCAGGCTCTCTGCTGAGCACAAAGCCCGATGCGGGACTCCATCCCAGGACCCTAGGATCATGACCTGAGCCGGAGGCAGAGGCTTAACTGACTGAGCCACCCAGGCGCCCCAGGACTGGATCTTTACTTTAGTCTTCCTCAAGCAAACACATCATGGGGTGACCACTGAACATCAGTGGCAGTCACTGGGGCTGTGAGTGCAAATGGGTCCAGGCTCATACTTTTCAGATGGGGAAACTGAGGCCCAGAAAAGGCAGGACTAAAAAGAAGAAAAGAAGAAGAAGAAGAAGAAGAAGAAGAGGAAGAGAAGAGGAAGAAGAAGAAGAAAAGGCAGGACTTGCACAATTACTGCGTGAAGCAGAGGTGGGTTTAGTCCTGGCATCTAGGAGTCTGACCCCACTCAGGCTCTGCCCTCCAGATCACAGATCACAGAAAGGTGTGATCTGGAGGGCAGAGCCTGAGTGGGGTCAGACTCTGCCCTCCAGATAGGGTCAGATCCTCTGCCCTATCACTGCAACCCTTGTTAGGAAAGTCTGGTCTTCCTCAAACAAATAAACAAAACCCCAGCATCTTCTAGAAGATATTGTCCATATAAGCCCACCTGCCCACTGAAGCCCCAGTCTTACGATCATACAACTGGCTGGCCACGAGCTCAGCCACCAAGCACGTTTGACACCGTCCCCTCTCCCTTATCCCAGAGCAAGTTTGGGTAGTACTGGGCAGAATAACTACTTAGGAATCCTAACCAGTAAATCATCTATCTCCCTTCCCCCTTCCCACCTCTCTCTATTTCTCCTGGTCTCACATCAAACCAGAATGGAGATGTGTTGCTGATTTAAGGAAAGTGTTAGATGAAAATGTACTTCCTTTTATTATATAGGGAGATATTTTTAAATGCATATAAATAAACATTTTTAATTTGCTAAAACGTTCAGACTTTATCGCTGCAGAGCATGTGTTTTGTTACACCAGCGAGTGGCGACTGTGAAAAATGAGGAATCAGACTGCTAGTCCATCTGGTGTGATTCAGAGAAAGTGGCTCCGGAGCAGCCGCACTGGGACGGATTGCCCTCCAAAGCTGCCCTGTCCGAGGCCGACTCTGCATCCCATTGGCTGGGCACCCCATCCACCCAGAGCCGGGCTGGTTTCCTTGGAGCTCCGCGGTCCTCCTGCCCCCCATCATAACCCGTTACACATGCATGCACACACATGTACCCTGAGCGGCAGGAGACCTCCCCTACTCCTCATGCTGGGCGGAGTCCTCCCCTCCAGCTGAGCGGTGGCCCTCTCTGCTCTGCCCACACCAGTCCCTTGGCAGTCGATGGGATTGGCTCCTCCACAGACTGAGGCTCTCGGCGCGGCATTAGGGGTCTACAGGGGAAGTTGCATGCAAAATATAGTGCTGATGTGCATGCTTCTGATTTGCTAGAGGCCATGACCAGGCCATGGGCCTTTGATGACCAGGCCAAGCCATATCTGGCGTTTGTCTGGACACCCGGTCTCAGCACCAGCTCAGGGCCCGCCACCTGGGGGAGGGTGGCATAAAATTGCTATACGCAAAATAGAAGCAGTAGCAGCTATTCCTGACAGGAAGGCTGGAATACCTCTTAGCACTGGGTCAGCTGCTGGGTCTGATGGGACATGAGGGGTCCCTTTCCTGAGCCATAACACCCTGGGCTCCGGTGGAACTCTCTGAGTGATAGGGAGCTCATGACTCACAAGGCAGCCCATGACAATGCTTGGAAGTTGTTTGAGATCAAAGTTTTCTCTTTCCTGGAGCTCGGACACCAACTGACAGGCGATCACCAACCCACCTTGTGGGCCCCACCCAAACCCCTGGCTTCCCATGTCGGCAGCAGCTGCAGCTGACCCAGCCTGCCAGGCCTGGCCACTGACCTCCTGGCAGACAGAGGTTGTCCTGTGGCTGGGGACAGGCTTGTCCTGCCTCAGACCTCCCAGACTGCCACCAGCCCTCAGCATTGGGGTGGGGGGGGGCGGGATAAGGGTAGTTAGAACATTAGGCAGACCTGTAGGGATGCAACAGCCCCATGAGCAGGTGGCCAAAACACAGCACCTACCCTGTGCTAAACACAATTCTGAGATAGGTTCAAGGATTTTATTTCCATTTGACAAATGAGGAGGCCAAGGCTCAAAGAAGCTAAGTGACTTGCCTGAAGTCTCAGAGCTGGGAGGCGGTAAACTGGAGGCCAGGCCGTCTGACACTGGAGCCTGGGGCTGAACGTTGAGTCCCCCCAGCCCACGGCATCTCCACACTCCGGAGTGTGTGGTGTTCACTGGGGTGCTAGTAGGGGGCTCCTGGGTAGCAAAGCATGGAGAATGCTGGATTAAAGAAAATTCAAGGGGTTTCTTTGCTGTGGGACTTGTCAGAGCCCTTGATGTGTTAATGTACCACTGGGACTCCCCCAGAAGAGTTGAGTCTGCAGGACTTCCCAAACTTACTGGACCTGAGTCATATTTCTTTTTGGTAAATGAACTCCTCAGTTTTACAGATGGGGAAATGAGGCCCAGAGAGGGGAAGCAGTTAAGCCGGGGTCACACAGCAAGTATTTGTGAAGATCAGAAAACTGTATCCACTCTGCCAACTACCCTCCCACCAGCTCTCTTCCTCTGCCCTTGGAACCATAGTTCTTTCCCTGGCACCATATTGCTCCCATGCCTTAGATGCCCACCATCTGCAGGGAAGCTGTGGGGCCTCCCAGGCCACCAGCAGGAGGAGAGAGGGAAGTGCCTACTGCCTTCAAGGGCTAGTGTGGGGCTGGAGCCACCTTGTGCCTTGTTGTCATGTGTCCCAGGAGCAAAGGGCAGACAGGCAGGCTACACACACTTTTTTATGGCTGGGCCACATCCCAGAACAGTAAACAGAGGGGCGGGCAGCTGGCACCAGAACCTTCGAGAGAGCAAAGGCCCCAGGTGGCAGACTCCTGCCCACCTCTGGAAGGGAGCTGAGAACAGTTTTCTCAGGAGTTTTAAAACATCATACTTTAAGTTCCTATTGTTCATATTCTTTTTTACCATTCCTCCTTGGTTGGCCTGACAGCACCTACTAGATCTTTAGGCCTCAATCCAAACATCACCTCCTCCAGGAAGCCTTCCAGACCTTCTGCCATAAGCTGGGAGCCCACTCTGGGCTCTGTTCCTTTGATGCCCAGAGCAGAGCTCCGACTGGGAACTTCTGTGGGCCAAGGACTGTGCATTCCCTGGGCTCGGCCATGCCTGGCACACGGGGGTGCCCAATGAATATCAGCTGTTGAGTAAAAAATGTGAGCTGAAAGTGCTTGAAAAATTCAAAAAACCGATATATTGAGTCTGATGAATCTGCTTACAAAATGGATTTACAGTTTTACGTAGTCTCATAGACTTACTCTAACAATGTCCTGTTTTTGTTCTTTCAAACACATTTTAAAGGTGACCTTGTTAGAGACCTGCAGAGACCGGAGGGGACTATGCAATTGTCAGGGAAGGGTATGGATGGTTTATACTTCTTTAGCATTTTCCTTTAATGCTGGGTATAATGATTTTTATACTTTTTTTTTTGAAAAGAGAAAAAAAATTTATTCTTGAAGCTGTATCCAAGAGATTCCACTCTATGTGCAACACTTGCCCAGCTGTGAGTTCTGCTTGGTCTGGAGAAAGTTCCCTGGGGACTCCCTGGGGCCTGGGCCCTAAGGGATAGCCTAGGAGTGTAGAAACTAGGCAGGTGGACTCGCCCCCACCCGGCTCCCTCTGCCTGTCCCCATCTGGGGGCCCCACTGAGAATGCTAGTGGGGCATACGGCTCTGCAACCCAGAGGACACAGTCATCAGAGCCTCTTGCTCTGTCCCGCTCTTGTGGGCTTTGTGCTTTGCATCCATCCGGCCTAGAGAGGGATCAGGGTAATTTGTGACAGGGACAGCTGGAGGTGAGGCTGCAGGAAGGGGCAGGTGGGAGCTGACCTCATCCCTTCCCCTCAGGTCATGGGCTGCAAGCATTCCGTCTTCTCTCGGCTCTAGCTCCTTCCTCCTGAGTCAGTCCAATCCCTCCAGCGGCCTCCCACCCTTGAACCCACCCGTGGAGGAGGAGGTGGGGCCTGGGAACTTACCGCAGCCCCTCACCTAGCCCTCTAGGGATCGAGACCTTCCCCCTGAGGCCTAGAACACAGGAGCTGGAAAGGCCCTTATTCCACAGGCTCCAGGCGTAGATGGGTCAAGGGGATGCAGGGCTGGGTGGGCAACTTGTCCAAGGTTACCCAAGGTTAGTGGCAAGGCTGGGACTCAGACCAGGCCTCCTAGGCCTTAACGGGAGCCACATGCCCAGCACCTGAGTCCCTAGGCCCCCAGCCCACAAGGCTGGGCAGGGGGCTACGGCAGATACTCCTCCTTAACTGGCATTGGGGAGGAGGCTCCCAAGAGGCTGGCAGAGCTGGGACACAGGCCCCCCAGGGGCGGCCCAGCTGCGGTGGGGGTGACTTCGTGGGCTGGTGGGGGGGGTGGGGGGGGCTGCTGCTGCTTCTTCTTGTTCACTTTGCGCTCCTTGGCCCGCCGGTTCTGGAACCAGATCTTCACCTGTGGTATGGGAGAGCAGAGATGGGCTAGGTGGTGGGGAGACCAAATGGCAGAGCACGAGGAAGACAGGAAGGACAGCTGGGCTCTTATTTCCCCATGTGGGGTTTACGGCCTCCCTCCTGCACCACCACCCAGGCTATTCATGGCCGGGGAACGCAACCTCCTCCTCTAGAACCTGCTCCCCGACCCTAAAGACAATATCTCTGTAACCTTCTTGGTCCCCATTTTGGAAGACCCCTCCTCCAGGAAGACTTCCCTGTGCTCCCTGTAACTGCTCCCTCCTTAGGATTTAAACAGCAATCATCCTAGCTGCTGTAGCCTATAGCTAATCAGATCCCCCTTCCGCCCTACTGGGGGTCAGGGATATTGGGTTTTGTTGCAGGTGGGAGGATTTGGCAGCAGTTCAGTTTCCGCTGAGTGCTGTGTGACCATGGTCAGGAAACCCAACCTCTCTGTTCTCCTCCCTGACTGAGTCTATAACCTGCCTGACACCCTGGAGGCCAGATTCCCAGTACTGCTCCTGTGGTGAAGGTGGGGGGACCCACACACCTGCCGCTCAGTGAGCCCCAGATTGGCAGCGAGCTCTGACTTCCGCCGGATGGTGATGTAACGGCTATAGTGGAACTCCTTTTCCAGCTCCAGGCGCTGGTGGTCGGTGTAGACCACGCGGTACTTGTCCTTGGTCCGGGTCTTCCCTGAGAAGCAGAGGGCCCAGGAGGGGAAGTAAGTGTGTGTGGGGGGGGTGCTGCAAAAGCTGAAGCAGGGCCCCAAGGAGGAAGCAATCCAGGCCCCCCCGAAAGGAGGACCCTGAGGTTGGGAGGGACGCACACTCAGTCCTGGGGGGTAACTATCATTCCCCTGGGGTCAGACTTGGAGACCACCAACCTGAGAGGCAAGCACTGCTCTCATGCCCTTTTGGGGAGGCACGAGGCTCAGAGAGGAGAAGCAATTTGCTCAGGGCTCAACAGCAAGCTGCTGGTGGAGTTGGGGTTTCAGTCCAGCTCCCCCGACCCAGAGCCCTCCTCTGATCCACCAACTCCACCAATTTTCACCCAGCAGTTTCCAGATGCGGCTGTGCAACAGACACTTGGGGAGCGCGTGAAAAACACCGCTTCCAGGGCATCCCTGACCCTGTGAACCGGAAAGCCTGGGGCTAGACTCGGCATCTTAATTTTTTTTTAGATTTTATTTATTTTTTAAGTAATCTCTACACCCAACGTGGGGCTAGAACTCACGATCCTGAGATCAAGAGTTGCATGCTCCACTGACTGAGCCAGCCAGGCCCCCTTAAAATCTGCATTTTTAACAAGCTCTCCAGGTGGTTCTGATTCAGGATCCTGAGACCACGGGTGGTCACACCAGAGACAGAGAGGGACACCTAGCAGCTCAGGGCAGACTGAGACCAGTGACAAGTCAGCGGCTCCTCTCTCCAGCGCAGGAGGAGAGTAGGGATGAGCCACCACAGGCAGAAGTGGAAGCTTGCTGCTCCATCCTGGGGTGGGTTCTCTTCACTTCCCGTCAAATGCCTGGTGGCTGCTGGCCCAACAAAAAACACTGCTCGCAGCCCCAAGGCCCCGAGGACCTGTCAGGTACCTCCAAAGACCCTAGCCCTGGACACCAAGCCCTAAGCTGGGGTTGCAGCAGCCTGCCCAGAGCCATCCACACCACCGCCTCTTCCCTGTGCACAGAGCAGTGATGCAGGCTCAGGTAACAAATATTTACTGAGCTCCTGCCGTGGGCCAAACACTGGGGTACACCAGCGAGCAAAATTAAAAAAGGTCCCTACTCTCAGTGAAATCAGGTTCTAGTGGAACCTAATCAAAATAATCACAGATCAAAATAATTTGATATGTTAATGCTAAGTACTTGATATGTTAATTGATAAGTATTCTTAAGAAGAAGAAGACAGGAAGAAAGGACTGGGAATTTGGGGAGGAGAAAGTATGAGATTTTAAATAGAGTAGTCCATGAAGGTCTTACCAAGAAGGGGAATTTAAGCAAAGATCTAAAGGAGGTGAGGGAAAGGGTCATGCAGGTATCTGGGGAAGAGGGCTCTGGGTGCAGGGAACAGCAAGTGCAAAGGCCCTGTGGTGGCAGCATGCCTGACATCGGATGTGTGGGGAACAGCGAGGAGGCTGGTGTAGCCAGAGTGCAGTGAGCAAGGACAGAGGTGCAGGTTGTCCAGGGCCTTACCAGCCACGGAAAGGACTCTGGGTTTTACTCTGTCTGTGATGGGAGCCATTGCAGGCTTCTGAGCCCAGGAGACATGAGGACTGATATTGGTTTTAATCTGCCTCTGGCTGCTGCCTGGAGGACAGACTGGCAAGAAGGGGAAAGCACAGATAGGCTTGCAATAACCCAGGAGAGAGAGAAGGCTGTGGCTTGGCTTCTCTACAGGGCTCGGCCTGGGGCCGGGAGCAGGATTTGAGGACTGATTGGGGTTAAAGTCAGTACTCTCTTTGGGGCTGGGATCAGAGGTCTGTCTGGAGAGAATATTAAGAGTCGTGCTTGGCCTGGGCTGGTGCGGGGGCCTGACTAAACACCAGTTTCCTTCGCAAGAAGCTGAGTACTCGGCTATAAATAGGAGGCACACGCAAGCACTTTCAGACCTACCCATGTCCACCAGGCCATGACGGGTCTCGGAATAACCGTGGACCCTGTTCCACCTCACCCAGTTGCCCCCACAAAGACTGGCCTTTACCTCCCAGGGTCACGGCTCTGGCTTTGCCTGTCCCTCAACACCCCTGTGCTAACCACCCACCCCTCTTCCAGCTCCCGCCCCACTACCAAGCCCACGCAGCTTGGCAGGACAGCCACTGGGCTCCCCAAGAGCCAAATGGTTTTGCAGAAAATGGGAGACAACAGATGTTTCTGGGCTTTTTTCCTTGGGTTTCCTGCCAGAGCAGCAGAACTGCACTGGACGCTTCCATAGCCACTGACCTCAGCCCACCACCCGATGTAGCACGGGACGGCCTCGGCCCTCGGCCAGGCCTGGCCCAGGAAAGGGACAAGGGAGTGGCTGCTGAGGCCTTGGCTCCAGATGGGCCCTTCCTTGGCCTAGAAAATTCAACGCCGACTCAAAAACAGTTCTGCTTAATGCGCCACCCCCGGAGCCCAGGAGAGCTCTGAATCTTCACTGGGCTAACGCCGGAAGGGTTCAGTTTGGTCTCCTCCCATTTTATAGATGAAGAGACTGAGGTTCGGGCAGGTAATACAGATGCTGGAGGTCCAAGTAAGAGAGGCCTTGTAAAACCTTCCAGTCCGACCTCCCCCGCACAGTCAGGGTCACTGAAGCCCTGGGCAAGCGTGGACTTGCCCAAAGCCATGTCCCCTGGTGGAAAGTTCCCACTCCTTACTCTTGGCACAACTCCTCACCCCATCCGGCTTGGGGTCCATAGAGCCCCCCCCCAAGAAGCCTCCTAAGCCTTGGTAACAGAAGCTCATACAGTAGACCACCTGTCTACTTGTACTTCTGGGAAGGGAGGGGCCGGATCATGGTAAAGGCAGGCCCCAGAGAGCTCTGGGCTGGGGCTAGATGGTCCGCAGGCTGGGTGGGTCTTTGAAAATGCCCAGAATACTCACAGCCTTAAGTGGCGGGACGAGTCTCCTTTCCCACCCAAACAGCTTGACAGATTACAAGCAGCGCTTATGAAACTTATTATGCCTTTTCCTCAGGCACCCAGCACTCACTCCCATCTTTTCTGATGAGCAAGTGGGGAGCCAGCACACCCATTTCCATAGATGAGGGAAACGGGGGCTCAGAAAGGTGCCCATCCTTGCTAAGGGCCATCCTGCCTGGTAGTGTTATCAACCCTGGGCTCAGGTGATCCAAACTGTAGCCTGACTCCTCCCAGATTTGAGGAGCGGGGAATTAGACAGGGGACAGGGCTCTAGCTGCATAATTATTTCTCTCTGTTCTAGCGAAGCTGCCAGGGAAGACCCAGCCCACAGGGCCTGTCACCTTCTCTCTGGGCCCAGGAGATGGGCTGGGGGGCTCAGGAAGCACTGGCCAACTTCTACCTGGTGGAGCTCTCAAATCGCACCATTTTATTGCTAAGAAAATGGCTCTGCCAAAGAACAAAACATTTGGTATCACACTGTGGTCCAGAAACCAAGAAATCCCATATGCTATCCAGGGAGAAATAACTGCAACATCCTCCTCTGGAGCCCAACTTGGTAACATTTAGCCTCATTTAATATGCATGTGCCCTCTGACCCATTAATCCCACTTCCAGGAATTGATCTCACAGAAAAATGCCCAAAGCCATAGCTGTTTCAAAGGACACAAGACTAGAAGCAATGTACGTCTACAAGTAGGGTACTTGTTAGGGACGCCTGGGTGGCTCAGTCAGTTAAGCGTCTGCCTTCAGCTCAGGTCATGATCCCAGGGTCCTGGGATCGAGCCCCTCATCAGGCTCCCTGCTCCATGGGGCATCTGCTTCTCCCTCTCCATCTGCCCCTCCCCCAGTTCGGGCTCTCTCTCACTTGCTCTCTCTCTCTCAAAAAAATTAAATAAAAATCTTTAAAAAAAAGTAGGGTACTTGTTAAATAAGAGATGGTACATCCATGGAGAGCGACATTATGCAGTCATTAAAAAGAAATTATAAAGCTCCCCATGTACTAATATGCAGCAATTTCTAAGACATACTGAGTTACAAAAACAAAGCAAGACATAGAATGTTGTGAATTGTATGTTACTGTTTTTGTATAACAGTGGGACACACACACACACACACACACACACTCATACATGTGTGTGTACGTAGAATTCTTTCTGAAAGAAAATACAAATTATTAACAAACCTCTGGAGAAGGAACTGGAAGCTGTTGGGCCACAGCTAAGTGAGAGTGTTTGGGATGACCCTCCCTCCCTCCCTTCCTTCCCTTTCTCTTTCTCTATCTCTCTTTTTTTACCATATGCAATGTGAATTTGTATTTTTTATTATTTTTTAAAAAGATTTTATTTATTTATTTGACACAGAGAGAGAGAGAGAGAGAGAGCACAAGTAGGGGTAGCTTCAGGCAGAGGCAGAGGGAGAAGCAGGCTCTCTGATGAGCAAGGAGCCCGATGCAGGGCTCTATCCCAGGACCCCGGGATCATGACCCAAGGCAAAGGCAGATGCTTAACCGACTGAGCCACCCAGGCACCCCTGATTACTAGCTTTTTTTAAGACAGAGAGAGAATAGGCTCCATGCCCAGCACGGAACCCGGAGTGGGGCTCGATCTTATGACCCTGAGATCATGACCTGAGCCGAAATCAAGAGTCAAACGTTTACCTGACTGAGCCACCCAGGTGCCCCTGAATTTGTATTTTTAATGACAGTCAGGAGCCCTGGGCTCTAGTCTCAGCTCTGAGCCCAAACTGTCAACTGCCCCAAGCCATCCTCCCTTCCGCCTCCTGTGAGTACCTGTGCCACCCTGGGAGCCTAGGAGGGAGGGTACAGGAGGTGCGTGACAGGAGCAGGCAGGGCGAAGGCCCCAGGATGAATGATTTACAGGCCCCTGGGACGCTGGGGCTGAGAGGGAAGTCCAGGCTCCTGCAACAGGTGTCTGATGGGGGCCAGCCGCTCCCAACCACCTAATGAATAACCCTCTGGGCCAGATGCAAGTGCAAGGGGGCAGGGGGATGGGAGGGGAGCCCCCTCCCCCTCTTCAGTGATGAGCACAGCAGGGAAAACCCTTGGATAACTCACC